CAGGGCTCTGTGAAGAGACAGTGAACGATGAAGTGGAAGACGTGTGCGGGTCGCCCCAGTGGTCAGTGATGGAGGAGAGATTTCAGCAGACCAAGCACGGGGAATAAAGCCAGGCCAGAGTGTGCTGTCAGCCTGTCTGCCCCCTAGAGCTGATGGACTCAGCAAATAACAGTATAGGGTGCCCAGTTACATTTGAATTTAGATGTGTATAGAATTTTGGTTTTTCGGGGTTGTACAACATTACGAATTTAATAACACTGAACTGGACACTCAAAAATGATTAAGATAGTATATTTTATTGTATGTGTATTTTACCATAATAAGCAATTGAAAAAATGAGTTGTATTTCATGTAGATAGTGAATTATTGTTTAGTATAAATATGTTCCATGAAATGTCTGGATACTGGGTTGCAGGAGGGACTCCCCTTCCTCCTCCCATTCACAGGCCTGCCTAGAGATGTTTAAGTACAGACTGACTGGCTGGTTTTCCCAATGTGTCTTGTGGTGATACTTTTAAGCCACAGATCTGCTTTGAAAAGATATGATCTCCCCCAGGGGAGTAACTATTATAAGAATAAATACTCTATCGAAGCTTCCATTCTCCTCAAGATAAACATCACAGGAGTGACCTGAATTGTAAAGAGGAGTGGAAGGAAAAGAACAATACGGTCATGTTTTCTGAGCCACGCAGATGTCGGGACGGATCCAAGGGCTTCTGAAAGAGGATGTCCGCACCGCCGAGTAAGACCTTCCATCCGACCAGGGGGTCACGCTGTCACCGGTCCTGCTTGGAGCTCTGGTGCTGTAGCAGGTCTTGGCTGCCCCTCCTGAGCTGGGGGGAGGAAGAAGTCCCTGTTGAAATATCAGATGAGTAGGGATGATGGCCTCTTTTGAAAACAGGAATCATGAAGTGATTCCCAGAGAAGACTGTCATCTAATGGAGTCATTCATCCGCCCAGGACTTCTCTGTCACAGGGTCATGTTTGGGGAGAATTTTCACAGGCCACTGGCGATGGCTGTGGCTAGCCTGGCTTTCCGCTGATGCCCTCTGTCCCTAACCTCAGCGTCTGACATGCCTGTCATTCCAGACAGTGCTTGGAAGCATTCTGCCTTTGTTGCAGATGGCCTGAGCGGAGTGGGTGTGCACTGGTTTGATGTTGTTTCATCCAAAGCAATGTGGTTATATTGCTGTATTTTCAGTTCCACCAAGCAGACAAAATCAGAATTGACACTTTTAAAAATCCAAGCTTTAGTTTCACCAACTGGAGCCCAGGTGTTTATTAGAAAGATTTATTGGCATTAGTGTATTTTTATTACAAGCATTTATCTCTGCCCTGAACAGTTGTCCCTGGGTCGCGTGTGCTGTGAAGAGTCTGTCCCACACCACACGTTAATTTTCTGTCCTCAGAGCTCCGGGGACACATGCTGATTCTCATGCTGTGCCACCGCCTTCTCCGAGTGGATGGCTGATGTGGGTTTCAGGCTCCACTACAGTTACCCAGCGAGGGATGGGACCCCGTGTCCCCTGTTGGCTGTGGGGAGTTGAGGTGGCCCTGGCTGGCATCTTGTTTTGAGGGGTGACTGTCTGCTGTACTTTGGGGAGGGCGTGACAGGATTTAAATAGCATCTTTACCTAGGATGTCTGGAGCCCCAAATCCATGTGGGCCTCCGACTGTGTGAATTTCAGATGCTGCCAGCCCCCCAACCCCGCCAGCCCCGAGATGGAAATTAGAGCACCAGATGGGCTCTCCCAAGGAGAAGCATCACAAGCCCACCCTCCTTCCTCTTTGGGAAGTCACCCTGGCTGTTTCCTGTGAGATGTGGTTGTCATGGTGATGAGTGGACACCTGCTTGGGAGGGAGTTAGAGGAAACGCTGATGTGGGGGAAAGGGTCACCCGTAGAGACAAGCTTGTGTTGCCCGTGGACACCCCATACTATGGCCCCCGCACTGGGGAGTCCCGTGGGTAGGGCATGGGGGTGCGGGCATCAGTCTGCGTCCCCAGCCAAGCCTTGAGCCCTGGCTTGAAGTTGCACAAAGGTACAGTGGCTGGCCCAGCCCTAACCCATGGCGGATGCAGCTGTCCCCCAACCCCTGACTTATCTGGCCGCCTGATGAGAGTCTGTCGCCCTGCGACTGTGGCACTCCCTCTGCCTGACAAATTAAATCCCACCCAGCTCGCAGAATGGATGTTGTTAACCTGATTTCTTTTGCTGATTGGCTGGTTGATTTCTTTGGGGTTTTCTTGGAGATGACCGTCACCTGTCCAGCAACTAGTAAGGCAGGGAAGGGCTTCAGGAAACCAAGTCCATGCAGAAGGGCACTGTGTTGGGGACCTTTCAGATGACTGGGTAAAACACCAACGTGTGCTATGTGCACCTTGAAATAGCAGAGTGTCCTCAGCAGAGCTCTCTGGGGGATGTCCCAAATAAGGTTTACTTTAGGAGAATGTGAGCGGCGTCTGAGGCGAGATTCTCTTGTTGCCTCCTTTGGGAGCTTTTGCCTGGTGTTCCTTGGCCATAGGAGGAAGAGCGGTGCCGGGGATGGGTGAGGGGAAGCGGTACCTGGGCCAGTCTCAGCCCTGCAGAAGGCGGCACTGTCTGCTCAGCTTGCTGGGCACAGGGTCTATTGCAGTGGAGTCCTGGCGGATCACAGCCCTCTTGTGGCGGGGAAGGATGGGTTTTGCTCCTGGAATGCTAGGCTTCGAGAAGCAGGGCAGTGTGCCTGCAGTCCCAGACAAGCCAGAGCCGGGCCTTCGGTCATGCCAGGACAGCAAGGTGTGGTCTGGCTAGGCCTGTGAGCTCATGGGGCTTAGGGATAGGGGCAGCAGGACCCGGGGAGGCAGGGACCAACCAGACTTCAGGGCTGCTGAGTCCCAGCGGCACCCCTGCACCCCCTCAGCTCTAGGAAGGGCAGCCCCATGTAGCTTTCTTGAGATGTAGCAGCAATGCTGTCCCTTCTCCCTCACCATCCTTAACGCCCAGCACTGGCGCCCGCTGCCCTGCATCCCCCACTCCCATTGCCTCGAAATCCAGTGGTGTCTGTGATCCTGGAGGGGAGGCTTAGCCAGCAATCATTCCGGCTGCCTGGGGCACGGCGTGTCTGTCCCCATCAGTGCTGGGAGGGTGGGCCCAGGTGGTTTAATTTTTCTCAAGCCCCCAGAGAGGCCGAGTTCCACCAAAGAGCAAGACACTGATAGACTAGGACGGGGGACAGGGCTGGCAGCCACGCCTCGTGGCGTCACCTGACTCCGAGAGAAGCCGGCTCAACACTTGGGGTCTCAGTTTTCTCACCTGTCAAGCAGTGGGGAGAATATTCATCACGTACACAAAAGGTTTTAGTAAACCCTAAGGTGCTAGGTAAATTAGGTCAATGTAACTGTGTTTTTTTTTAATTTTATGTATGTATGTATGTATGTATGTATGTATGTATGTATGTATGTATGTATTTACTGGGGGGGACTGAATCTCACTGTGTTGCCCAGGCTGGAGTGCAGTGGCACCATCTTGGCTCATTGCAACCTCTGCCTCTCAGGCTCAAGTGATTCTTCTACCTCAGCCTCCTGAGTAGCTGGGATTACAGGCACCCACCACCACGCCGAGCTAATTTTGTATTTTTAATAGAGACAGGGTTTCACCATGATGGCCAGGCTGGTCTCGAACTCCTGACCTCAAGTGATCTGCCTGCCTTGGCCTCCCAAAGTACTGGGATTATAGGCGTGAGCCACTTCGCCCAGCTGGTAAATGTAACTTTTATCATCAGTGTCTTCCTTGCCATCATCATATTGTTATTTCTCGATAATTTATTTCCAGAAAGTTCTGGAACTGGACTTACCATGCAGGCGCTGGAACCTCCTTTGGGGTTTGGACAGGGATTTAAGGGCTATAGATCTGGCTTCTGTCTTCTGAATGATCTAAGGAACTAAATAGAGAAGATATACCTAACCTTAAATTTTATTAATTAAAGTAGAAGCAGTTGTAGTTTGGTGTCTTCTTTAAGAGAAGACTTACGACATGTACTTGGGGCATTTTATATTTTGTAGTAATAGATTGGCTACTTTGCATTTATTCTCATCCAAGTATTTAGGTTTTTTTAAAATATGACTTTTAACTTTTTGGGCACTGTTGGTGGGAATGTAAATGGCACTACTGCTGTGGAAAATAGTGCGGAAGGTCCTTAAAAACTGAAAAATAGAATTATCTTATGATCCAGTGATTTCACCTCCAGGTATGTACGTAAAAGAAGTGAAAGTGAAGACTCAAGAGATATTTGCACACCCACATTCATAGCAGCACCATTCACAATAGCCAAGAATTGGAAGCAATCCAAGTGTCCATCAATAGATGACTGGATAAACAAGAGGCGGCATGTACACACAGTAGAGTGTGATTCAGTCCTAAAAGGAAGGAAGTTCTGCCATGTGCTTCAATGTGGATGACCCTTGAGGACATTTTGCTGCAATAAGCCAGTTCCAAAAGGAACATACTGACTATATAATTACTCCACTTACATGAGGGGCATAGAGCTGCCCGATTCATGGAAACAGAGAGTAGAATGGTGGTTGGCAGGAGCTCAGGTTGGGGTTGGGGTTGGGGAGTATTGAGGAGTTTGTTTAATGGGTACAGAGTTTTAGTTTTGGGAAGAGGAAGACACTCTGAAGGTGGATGGTGACCATGGTTGTACACCAGTGTGAATGTACTTAGTGCCACTGAACTGTACACTTAAAAGTGGTCAAATGGTGAACTTTATGTTATGTGCATTTTACTGCAATCAAAAGATAAATTTTAAAATGATTTAAAATAACTTTTTTAGAAGTATGAAAATAGAATATTAAGTTCATAGCAGTTTAAGTATAATTAAATAGATGACTGCACACACACCTATACACACACCGACATACACATGCATTTTACAAAATTGTATCATATTGCATATCCAGGTTTTGCATCTTGCATTTCTCTAACATATAAAATCACGATCTTTCACTTCCCCATTTCCAGGTTTGCAATGGTCTGGAGCAGCCAAGGAAGCAGCAGCGCTCTGATCTCAATGGACCTGTCGACAATAACAACATTCCAGAGGTAATTTTTTTCAAGGATGAGAGTTCTGGGCCGGAACGCTCATCTAATGATGGAGTGACCCACTGAGTTGTGGTCTGCTCACTTAGTCCATGATGTTCTCATCCCACCCAGTGCCTGGGAGAGAGGGAGTCCAGGTCAAGCCAAGTTGGTGTCACCATATGGGGAGGAGGTGACGGCACGCTGGCCTGGGAGGAGCGAGGAGAGGGCCTCCCTGCTGTTAGGACCGTGCCATGGAGTGCTCATGTGTTGCAGATGGTGTATGTGTGGGGGTGGGGGATCACTGGTACTTCTTAATTTTATAAAAAGCCATTCTGTTCATTGTCTGATAACCATGTTCTAAACTAGGGTTTCTCAACAATGACACCATTGACATTGAGGCCTAGGTAATTCTTTGTTTTGGAGACTGTCCTGTGTATTGTAGGAGCTGAGCAGCATCCGTGGCCTCAACCCACTAGATCCTTGTACCTACCCCATCCCCACCCCTGATTTGTGGTAACCAAATATATCTCCAGACATTGCCTAATGTCCCTTTGGGAACAAAATTCATCCCAGTTGAGAGCCACTGTTCTAAATCAACAACAGGTTTTAACAAACGATTTCCTATAAACTAACAGTCCTATGATGGAAGTTATTTCCCCTTTCTCGGTAACATAGTTTACATGAGATTGTTTAACTTTGTTGAAATAACGATGGCCAACGATGGAGTGGTATCCAGTCTCCTTTATCTTGCTTTTAAAGACATGCCCGGATGGCTCTCATGCCCACCGTTTGGAGCACCATTGTGTTGGATGGTCTCTAGACTCCCTTCTAGTCAAGATATGCTAGTCTGAGGGTCCCTAAGTTTTAGATGATGGGCTTTTGGGCCACTCCCCAACATCACGTTGCCTGCAGCAGACTGGTTTGCCGTATGGAGCATCAGCATACATAAGATATCATCTTGGGAACACCGTCACTCATGGCGGGGTTTGCTTTTCTCATTATGACACATATCACAGCCCTGCTTAGCCTTCACCTTGGGGGCTACCTACTTACAGTTGATATGTGTTTTATTTTTCCATTTTTCCTAACAGACAAAGAAGGTGGCATCATTTCCAAGTTTTGTGGCTGGTAAGTGACTTTTAATTTTATCTCTCAAGGGGCAGTTGCATTTTACTTCAAAACAAATGATGCTTTTACTTTCGGCATTTGCCTGCAAAGCTTGTTTACAAAGGGTGCCTACCTACCAGCAAGGTGCTTGGCCATTGGCTGTTTGAACACTGTGTAGGCCCGCTTAGTGGGGAGGGGAGGTCCAGCTGATCTGCCTGCTTTGATACAAGGAAAGGTAGACTGTCTCCTTTAATTACGCCCTTGGTAATTGCATCACAGACAACACTGATGACTGAATAGATTGAGGTGTGTCTTTATAAGCAGTTGGTTATAGCTAACACTTCTGATGAGGGTGGCATTCAAATTCAGGCTTTTTTTTTTTTTTTTTTTAAGATCCTTTGTTTTTGTTTACCGTTCCGCCCTTTTTGAGGGGGTTAATAGTGCATTTCAACGTTCGATAAAGAATGAAGCTGGTCAATATGTTCTGTGTCACTCTTGGGGATGGGGAGCACACCTGCCTGGCTTTGATGGAGCTGAGCATCCGGAGACCTTGTGGGGCTCCTGTAGGAGATCCCCTGAGTTTGTTTCTAGTGCTCCAACCTCAGAGGAAAGGGCTTTTTCAGTAGAATTTCTCTCTTTGCCAGGAGGATGTTTCCTGCCCCTGCTAATGCGTTATAATAAACAATGTGAATTTCATTAATTCTTTCAATAAGCTGGTAATTAATTCTTATAAATATTTATGGGAGCAAGGTAAATTAGTCTTCAGAAATAAATGACTTTCAGCCCTTCCCATACTGCTTTTCTTTTTTTAGCAAACAACTAAAGCCTGGGGAACTGAAGCCCCCAAATTTGCCTTTAGAGTACTAGTTTGTACCAGGCTAAACCAGTTCCAGTTGGTTGAAACTGGATTAACTGGCTCAAATCAATTTCGACTGTTATAACTGGCTTAATGCTGCTCAGATTGGGTGAAAATCTGTTTTAAACCATCAGAATTAATATCACACAATTCAGATAGACTTGGTTCCATTTTGACCAATTCAGATAGGCTCAGATGGGTTTTGCCCAGCAGTTTACATGTGGTTTTAGGTACATTTTATCTGGTTCAAACGGCCTCATACTGGTTTTCTTCAGGCCACAGCAGGTTATGATGATTCCTGGAAGAGACCACACTCCCCGCATTCCCGCTCATAGGGTTTGATTGGGTTCCTGATGTGTAGGAGCTGGCCCCTGATGAGCAGGGAGAATGCAGTACATCACTGTGCCATTTTCCTTGGCGGGCGGAAGCCAGGGTGGGATTGCCAGTCACACTGCTCCGGTGAGGCAGGGTCTCATGGATCCAAGAAGCTCACTTTTCAGTGTATCATGGTGTCATCTGGACAGAACTCTCACACTAGGAGGTGATTTAGACATTAAATTCCCCGGCCCTTGAACCAATCTCATATCTGCAGGGAGTGGGATTGTGAGGGGTGCCTGGGGTACCTCTGACTCTAGCTCCTGGCATCCCAGAAGACTTGGTTCCCTGCACCACTCAGACTGTTCCAAAGCAAATCCAAACAAGGCCGGATGCCTTAAACCAATTCAGATGGGCTAAAACTGCTGTGACCAACTGGAACCAATGTGGAAAACCTGAATTTATAGTTTCTTCTGTAGGAGAGAAGCCCTTTGATTGTTATGAAAATATAGAAAACGTAAGCAAAAGAACATCCCTTACTATTACAGCATTTATATTCAGTGAGGCCTTTATGGACCAAAAATCTTACTCAGCAACAGGAAGAGATCATCATAATGGTGATGCAGAACCCTAGAATATAATGAATTTGGGAAAAGCTTCTCCAAATTAAACACCTTTATCAGTTTGAATGCATTTGGGTACAAGTATCAAAATCCCCACCTAACATTAGCTTGCACAAATAGGAGGAGTGTGTGTTACATAAAGAAGTCTAGGGCTGGGCGTGATGGCTCATGCCTGTAATCCCAGCACTTTGGGAGGCAGAGGTGGGTGGATCAAAAGGTCAAGAGTTCAAGACCGGCCTGACCAATGTGGTGAAACCCCAGCTCTACTAAAAATACAGAAATTAGCCAGGCATGGTGACGTGTGCCTGTAGTCCCAGCTACTTGGGAGGCTGAGGCAGGAGAATCACTTGAACCCGGGAGGTGGAGGTTGCAGTGAGCCAAGATCGTGCCACTGCACTCCAGCCTGGGTGACAGCAAGACTGTCTCAAAAAAAAAAAAAAGTCCAGAGGCAAGAGGCCGCCGGTTCAATGGCTCAGTGATGTAAGGATCGGCACCGCTGCGTCTCTTGACTTCCTCTTCAGGCTTGTCACCTCATCGTCACACAGTGTGTGAGCAGCCCCAGCCATTGCTGCTGCTTCTAGGCAGGAAGACGAAAGGAGAAGGGCTGAAGTCCACACCAGCTGGACGTCCTCCTCTTGACATTAGGGAAGCAAAGGTTTTCTGTGGGTTAAGAGGTGATGACTTCTCTGCATGAGAATCAGACCATCTGTTCCCTTTTGTAGTGTGCCTGGGTAACCTGAAAGGCAGCGTGTCAGCTATGTCTCCAGGCAACATTGCTTATGGTGAGGTGACTCTTTTTGATAAACTGTATCTAGATGGAAAATTTCTAATGCTTGGGGGACAGGGCATCCAAGGCTTTGAGCTTCCCACAGTGGTAACTTTTGTGACTGGGCATGTCTCTTGAGGGTGACCCTGGAAGCTATGCCCCACCCATGGAGTGATTGTGAGAGATACTGGCTGCTGGGAGCATAAGACTCTTAGACCAGATGGATTCCATGTGCCCTTCTTGGTGGGAGTTTTGTACCTTTGCAGCTGACCCATCCAGGGGCCCATGAGACTAGCTGTGTGGGTGCAGCGCGGACTCCCACCGGCAGTCCAGGAGGCAAACTGCCATCTGCCTTATTACCCTGAAGTAGACAGCCCTGTGTCTAGCTGAGCCCTAGGACACTGCGTGCCTCTGAATAGCTAGTTGAACCTTACTTAACAGACCCAGAAGCCTCTTCAGCACACTGCTTATTTCTTTGTGGCCAGAGCTGTGTCACATGACCAGCCTCTCAGATGTTAGTGTGGGCCAGACAATCAAATCCTGGGCCTCTCATGAAGGCAGGGCAGGTCTGGAATCGGCCCTGGGTGCCTGCCACCACCCCCATCCCACTGCAGGCCCTTCCGGCCTCCTGGCGCGTCCGGTGCTGAGGCTGAGCGTGTGAGTTCCTGGGAAGCCTCTGTGTAAGGGAGGAGCAGCTCCTCCACCCGGTTTGTGTCTGAGAAATTGCCCTGGAGGGAAATGTTCCTGGAGGATTCCTGAGTATTTGGTCTCAGCTTATGCCTTACTTCATATCAGATAATTATTGATAATGAGAAATAAAATAATAGTAACAAAATGATACCATCTGAACCCTCGTTGAAGCTTGGCGTCCCACTGCCTGTGCTGTGTGGCATCTCTCTATTTCATGTCGCCTGGTCAACCACCACATGAGCAGTAAGTACTTTCCCCCATACTATAGGTTAGAAAACTGATGCACAGTGAGGCTACAGTCACTTGTGTGCTGTCCCATGGCTGTGTGGGGGACAGAGCCTGGACTTGGACCCATGTCTTGGTGCTTGACACATAAACTCTTAGCCGAGGTGATTCCTCCTTACCCACCATGCCTTCATATACCAGGGATTGGTAAGACCTATCAGGTGCTTGCTTTGAGCCAGGCCCAGATCTAAGTGTTTTAAGTATATCAACTCAACAATCACTGTATCCACAGCTCAGGGAGAGTGAATCCTGGGCCGAAGGTCACCAGGTAGCAAGTGGCAGAGCCAGGATTCAAACCAGTCTGGAATCTGAGCTCATCACCTTCACGCTGCACTTCCTGGCGACCCTCAGCACAGAGTGGGTGAGGAAGAGCCTTCACTTAGAGAAGACCTACCATGCAAGTGCCAGAGAGTTCAGTGGAGGGGAACGTTCCAGATGCCGGAGCTGCTGGCCCCTGTCAGTCTCAGGATCACAGCCTTCTCTCAGCAGAGGCATCGTGGGGAAGGGCCTGCCATGATCACTGTCTGTGGAAAGTTCTCGGGGTCTAGCGACCCTCTCAGACTGGGCAGGTTAGCACTGCAGAGAAAACTTCCTTGTGAAAGTACGGATTGCGCAGGGGATGCACTGCCTCTCCCGTGGGGAGGAATCTGAAAGCCACCCTCAGGATGTCCCCTCCTGCAGGATGTAGTGGCTGGCAGCAGCTCTAGCCCAAGCTGCTTAGAGGGTCACTGCCTCTGGATGAGTATATGTGAACAACCAGCTTTTCTGTAAAGGTAAACATTTGCTCATTAAAACCAAAAGGCTGGTGCTAGTCCCAAGCAATGGGGCCTAACAGTGGCAGCTTCAGTACAAAATAACAAAGACTGGTAAATCTTACTTTGCTTTTTGTACTTTGTTCTCCTAATCTAACAACCAAAGCTCAAAGAGGATGTTTTGAAACCCACCACCCCACCAGCATCTTGAGACTCATGCCAAAATGCTGCCAGGCCTCAGAGTCCTGGGGTCCTTTACAACCTGTCTGTAGCTCATCAACTTCTCCAGCTCCATGCGGCTCATGTGGAAGGCATAGAAATTACATTCCCGAGACCTGGAGCTGAGCTCACCTATCACCCCTTCCTTCTCTCAGGGGTCCTCACAGTGGTAAAGCTGCTTTGCTGGTTTCATACAGTGGGCAGATGGGATCTGCGACTTAGTTTGCTCTTAAAAGGCAATTGGGGCCGGGCGCAGTGGCTCACGCCTGTAATCCCAGCACTTTGGGAGGCCGAGGCGGGCGGATCACGAAGTCAGGAGATCGAGATCGTCCTGGCTAACACGGTGAAACCCCGTCTCTACTAAAAATACAAAAAATTAGCCAGGCGTGGTGGCAGGCGCCTGTAGTCCCAGCTACTTGGGAGGCTGAGGCAGGAGAATGGCATGAACCCGGGAGGAGGAGCTTGCAATGAGCCGAGATTGCACCCCTGCGCTCCAGCCTGGGTGACAGAGCAAG